ATGATGAAATTTGGATGGTAGGTAGCTCTCGTGCTGGGGAAGAAGTGATGTGAGTTTGGGCCCCCTAGCGGCTTGCTCTGGAACTGCAGGGATATATTCTTGAAATTATTCAAAAGGGGATAACTCAAGAACCGTTTGACGGATCGTCGTGATTTTTGGTATGTAGGTAGCTTACGTGATGTTTAATATAATTATGTGACAATTATGCAAATATGGTTGTAATTTACATAATTTATGGGGAAATTCTATAAATCAGCTACATTCCATGATAGGACAATTGAAGATTGTGACATTGGTAATTGACAACGAGAGAAACACAGGAAGATATTGATTATGTTAATAATGACTTAATTTGCATAATTAATGAGAAAGTTTTATAATTATGTAATGATAACTGCCTGGAATTTCATACTTGTGGTATTTGAAAGTTTAGTTGAGGTGAACATCATTAAACATAATTTATTCAAATCAGGACCTCATTTGCATAATTTATTAGGAAATGCTAGAATGCATTGTTTAAGACTGTCTTTTGGTTGAGATTATGATAAAATGATATAATTCATGAAAATTAGGTTCCTATTTCTTAAATCAGGGGGGAATCTAATCTATAATTTGTCAGTCATAAAGATTAACATCATTTGGCGAAGGTATGAGATCGGGGAACTCTAGTTTGATTTGTTGTTGGACTTTCAGCACATATCTGGTTGTTTTTGACTGAATATACTGAAGAATGTGTTACTCAGGTAATACATTCTTTATTACTCTCGGTTGAGTATTTGATGTGTGCATCTCTATGTTTCCAGGCTGACAAGGTACATGACCTTGCTGAAGAGATAGGAAAGAAGCTTGCAGAGGCCGAGCAGCTTGGGGAAGAGGGCAATGTGGACGAATCCATGAAGGTCATGTCCGAAGTGGAGGACACCCGCAAGAAGAAAGCAGAAGCAGAGGTCAAGACTCCTGTTAAACTTCTCTCTCTGTCAGTCAGTCTCAAAAGAAGAGGACTGAATATATCTGCACAAAATAGGATGGAACAGTTTCTAAATAACATGAATTCGAGCTCATATTCAAAATGAAAAACAGATCATTGTTCAAAGGGCCTATTAGAGTGTCCTTGAATGTGCGCTTGAAACTTACACCTGCAGCTACAATGTATCACTGTTTCTAGATAGCTAGATCACTGTTTCTAAAAAGTTACTCATTAATTTTTTCAGGAAGAGTACCGGAACTCCATGCCTGCCTCCAGCTTCCAACAGCAGAAGCTGCGAGTTTGTGAGGTCTGCTCTGCGTACCTGGGTCTTCATGACAACGATCGCAGGTTGGCAGACCATTTCGGAGGGAAACTCCACATCGGCTTCATCAAGATTCGAGAAAAGCTTAAAGACCTCAAGGTATTGTGAACATGCTTCTTTCTCCTTTCTATTCCCCAATTTAATGTGAGAAAATTTGTAGTTCCATTTTGCACATATACTTATTTCAACTACTATGTATTTCAGAATCTTGTGGCAGAGAAGAGGGAGAAGAGAGAGGTGGAGAGAGCCAAGCGCCGTGAAGATAGAGAGAAGGAGAAAGAAAAGGACAGCAGGTGTGTCCCTCTCTCATTGGCTATCTTCCCAGGACATGCATGTATTAGTCTCAAGATCAACAAGGCTCATAGACGAGGTCATTGAAATCAGGCTTGTGAACCTACCTCGACATAGCTGGCTCATTTTGACAGTGTGTGGTCTTCCCTTCTGTGCTTACGTGGTGTTAGACCGATTTCACTGGTAGACAAGTTCACAAGCATGTGACTGAACTACATCATTTATTTCTGTGGACACTTTTGCCAGGACAAGAAACCCCTGACTAGTACTACATACAATCTTCAAATTTGGACCTTGGGGCCTCGTGGTGAGTAGAAAGTTGATGCCATTTTGGAAGTAAGTGTAGCACCCCTGTGAGTTGTTCAGTCCTAGACCAAAGGCAGAATTTGTCCCGTTCTTTGCATGTTGAAACTTACCACATCTATTTTTGTGCAGGCCCAGCTCACAGTCACGTAGTCCGAAACGTCGCAGCCACTCCAAAAGTCAAGAGCGCCGCGAGAGCAAGCCCCGAAGTGAACGTCGCAAGAGTCGATCTCGAAGCCGTGAACGACGAAGAGGGGATTCCAGAAATCGTGATCGCCGCAGAAGTCGCTCGCGCAGCCGGGAGAGACGTAGGAGCCGCTCACGTAGCCGTGAGAGACGTAGGAGCCGTTCCCGAGGTCACGATCGCAGAAGGCCCAGTCGCTCTCGCAGCCGAGACAGGAAGAGACGAAGGCGCAGGTATTCAACATCAAACACAATCAAAACAGTACAGTTCTCATGTATTTTTAGGGAAGAAAACAATCTGTCATACTGATTTATATCTTTCTGATAATCTGAAGTATTGAAAACTACAATTCTTTCTGTGCAATTCTTTCTTTCTGGTAACCTTATGAATTCAAACTGTATTCCTGGTGTAACTTTAGACAATCTGTCGTATTGATATCTCTCAGTCTCAAGTAACATTCGAGTTTTCTGTTCAGTCGTGACAGGTCCAGGTCCTCGGATAGAAGACGAAGGCGGTCCCGATCACGTGACAGACGGCGCAGGACCCGGTCACGAGACAGAGGAGATTCTCGTAGGCACAGCAGGTCGCGATCTAAGGGCAGGTCAGCACGGTCCGAGTCTAGATCCAAGGAGCGCAGTCGACAATCTTCCCACGAGAGAGAGGAGGACAAGACAAAGGAGGATGGGGAGCAAAGTCCAAAGGAGGAATCAGCAAACGGAGAGAAAGCCAGGTCGAGCAAGAGTCGCAGTAGGACCCCGGAGTCAGAATGACAGACTAGTACTGGACTGTAGGGTATTTAAAACCTCACCTACATTCTGTTCACGTAGTTGCACAAGATGTGAAACATTCATGTATAATCAGCTAGGTTGCCAAGAGAGTTGTGTAGCTTTGGCAGTTTCTTCATGTTGAAACTCCAGTCTTGTTCAACTCATTACATGTCACTTAATTCATAAATGTACACTACTAGAAGAGCTGTAGAGAAAGCTTGAGGAAACTTGGAGCATTTGTGGACCTCTTGTAGAATGTGTATTCTCTCTCATCTCCACAGTGTACATAAAGAATTTAGACATAATAAGCCCTGCAGCATAGTATTGTATCACTTAGCAGTTTCCCCGTACTTAGATGTAAATGTTAGGTAAAAAATGTGTTGGAATTTTAGGTTGCCCAACACAGGATGTGTGCAGGATTGAGGGCCTGTCTGTCATTTGAAACAGCTCTGTCATTTAACAGCATCAAGGCATGATGTGCTGAAAACTGCATTGTGAGTTCATACTGTATGGTACCAGGAGTTAGTTCCAAATGTGATCAATTTGGCAGGAAAACTTGATATATTATACAGGAAGCTCTGCAACATTTTAGCACTTTTTGTTATGAACTTCAATTTAATATTGCTGCATAGGCTGAAGTAAATTATCTTCCTTCTAGTCGTGCTTTATTCAATGTCTTAGACAACAATTGCTTAAGACTTTTTATCAAAACATTAAAGGTGCATGTCAAGAAATTACATGTTGTTGATTAAATCTTGGGTTATACATGTAGTGTAAATCTGGGCATGATTGTTTAACACTCTAGAGAAGCTTTAAAAGAAGCTGCAGGATGTTCAAACAATAAAAATTGTCAGTACCAACAACATTGCATGGAGTCTGAGTTATAGGGAAAGTGTAGTGACAAGATTGGCCTTTATGCTAACTAATGTAAGTCAAAAGATTCATTCAGCCGTCCAAGTTGACATCCTTTTATTACGTTCGCCAAAAGGTTATGTTTTCAGAGGCGTTAGTGTGTGTTTCAAGTTTATTTATTTTACCAGGGCGTACCTCAGATCCTTGATCTGATTTTCAGGTATCCCTGGGCACATTAAATATTACATTCATAATAAATCACAAGTTGAACACAATATACAAATAATGTTACAACAAACTGAATATTAACTCACCGACTGTAATACATGTATACTAAGGAGATCAATTTTGTGCATTTTTCGCGCCAATCTCAATATATGAATGGAAACAGAGTAGATGCAAGGCGTAAACTACGGCAATCCCCAGTTACGATTTTGCCTCCCACCATCTGCTTGGTTTACATTCATATGGTAATGAGATTGACATGGAAAATTCACTTCTGCAAAGACTGACCACTTTTGCAAGCGATCAGCAGATCGCAAAATCATTTTCCATTCATATGATATTGACATTGGCACCGTAAAATTCACAAAATTGATCTCCTTCGTATATTACAGTCGGTGAGTTAATATTCAGTTTGTTGTCATGAAGAAAAGGCCAGGTTTAAACTGAAGCTATCTCTGTCCTTGGTGCTGAAAGCTATCCCTACACAACGCCCCCCTCCCTGTTCGTAAGAATATTACGCGGTTGCCGAGCATTTTCACCTCCCCTAATCTCATAAATCGGCTCCTTTTATCTGTAAAGACAGTTCGTACAACTCTGTAGCGTATCTGGGGGAACATAATAGCCCAAAATAGTCCCGTTCCTCCGAAAATCCTCCGTAATTTCAGTTGTTTACATGAAAAGTAAAGCGGCTTTATGGTGTCGAGTCGTTGCCCATATTTGGTCGTAAAGTGATACGTCATCGTTATTTCTAACCAAGCACCAACGAGGAATTGTATTAGCCAATCAGGCTTAATGACTCAAAAACGTTGCCGTGATGATAACCAATCAACATCAAGGATACATAGGGCAATGACTTTATGCGCCATGTATCAAAAGCGGCGTCTAGCAGTCAGTGAAATTATTGCATGTAAAAATCCTCACAAGTATCTGCAATAATTCCGTGAACTGCTAGAGGCCCTCATTGACACGTGTGATAGATTGGCATTTGGGCGCCTGTGGATGCATCCAATTACTAAAGTGTAAAGGACTAAACTTTGTAAAGAAGGGTGAACGTTCGCCAGGGATGGAAAGATTCTTCTGGACACCTCAGGTATGAATTGTTACACTTCTTAGTTCTAGAAAGACTTGGGTGGAAAAACTGGAGCGAAAAATTGGAGTTAAAGAGTTTTATTGATGTCTGTGTCATTTTTCGTTACTGAACATATTTTCCTTGATTTTGTTCTTATTATCAGTTTTAAGCGTCCAGAAATCACCTGGACGTGAAGAATACACCATATAGAAGATATTGCAACAACTAGGTCTGTAATTGTTTGCGTTATTTTTACTTTAATGGCTAATTTTACACCTTTTCCTGCCTATATTTAATCCAGCATATCTACACAGTTCACCTGGAGGATTACGTAATTATCTCGCATGACGTAATGCACCTAGGCTTAATATATGCATATTTTTGAGCCTCGTTATCAGAAGAAATCCGTTGATTTGATTGGTCCGCCTTTTAATCGAATTAAAGCTCAGCTAAGGCCTGTCAAATGGACATTCTATTGAATATTAATAACTTTTAACAATCTAAGACTTGTTTCGCCACTGGATCATGGAATCGTCCTTTTGGTCACAAATTGCGGACGTTACGGTTATATTCGGTCATATCATGCACCATTATGATACCAATATAATAACTTTGTGATATTATGGTTGATCCAAAATAAGTTGAAACTAATGTTACATATTTTTAGTTTAACAATCGTCGATAAAGAGAAATGATCACTCAAAGATCGAAATACTCAAATGTAATATTCTACACGTATGTCGCGTGAAATTTACTCTTGTTGTACCGAGTCATTAGAGACGTATTCCTACAGCCATTTGTCGCCTGTAATGTTTGTAAGTTGTCACCTACTGACTAGAAAATGTTCTTATCACGATCAAAAGATAAATGGGTCTTTTATCAAAAGATCATTTATTGGAAAATTACTAACGTGTGTTTTCCTCCTAAATTTAAAAAGTTGAATGATGAGGACAGAAAATTGTGAATTTCGAATTCGTAAGAACTAAAGAAGAAAGTAATAATCAAGTCATCGTATTTTTCTGGCCTGCATGTGTGGTGATTTCCTATTGGCCTGTCTATTATCTTATGTTAACTTTATTATCGAATGCAAATTTTGCTCATGATTTACAGGTGGCACAGACACATGTGCGTGAAACACGCCTTTCCAAGATGGCGAGTGCACATGGAAGGAAAGAACGAGCGGGTAAAAATTACGCCCAGGAAGACGCGCCATGTCAGCTTTGGTGGTAAGTTGTACTTTAAATTGTCGTAGATACTCTCCGGACATTTATAGATAAATCTCCTTTAATTTGAATGAAGCAAAAAGACAGAATCTCGCAAATAAGTTGCAGCAACTGTCCCGACGAGTTAACGCTGCACTTAGTTAAGTAACCGATGGGGGCGCATTTGTGTGGTCCAGGTCCAGTAGTAATTAAGGAAGATAAAAAGGCACTTTCATTTATTCAAATGTTTATTCAATTTTTTTTGCATCGTAGGCACCAGTTCTTTGAACATGTTTCAGTCGATTACCATTCAATGATGGTGAAATTAATGATCCTAAAATAGAAAAAAAAACCACCAATCTTAATAGGTGCATTTTGTAAAAAATCCGTTGAGGGGCGCTTTTGTGTGGCCCCTGACCAGAACATCTTTGCTTGTGTGTTGAAACATGGTTTATTGTAATTTTTGTATTTGACAAACTGATGACAGAACAACAATTCTTGGTATGTTACCGTAGTTATGCAAATACATGTAACTGTTACGTCGATGAAGGTTAGACATCCAGGTAATACGATATGCCAAAAAAACAGTTACTCAAGCAACTGGATATGATTTTGAAAACGTCAGACGTTTCAGCTAGTATCCACTAGCTTTCGTCAGTGACTGAGAGACCAGAGGGGAAAGCAGGTTTATATACACAACCTGTTGATTGATATGCAAATTATAAAGTGAAGACAAATTTTTGGAAGTCGAAAAAGGAACAAAAGTCAGACAAGTCAAGACAAGATGATGCAAATTAGTCTGAAAGCTCCTGTTATACAGGACAGGAGCTTAAGTGTTGTCTGTCCTCGGGGCTGGGAGTGCCAAATCCCAAGTGCCGGAAAGATCGACTCGTAGCCCCCCTTCCCTGTTGAGGGTGGGGTTGTACATTCTTTCATATATTGCCTCTTTAACACCCCGTTCCCACCAGCGTGTTTCGCGGTCTAAGACATCCGTGGACTCGAGTTTGAAAGAGTGACCCTGGTTGTGTTGTAGGTGGTGGAAAATAGCTGAGGAGTAGCCGTTGGCACTAGGTCGGCAATGTTCTTTGTACCTTACTTTAAGCGGTCGACTTGTCTCTCCGATGTAGGTGTTGTTACAATTGGGCTCCTCACATTTGAGTCTGTAAATAACATTCGCCTTGGTACCCTTGTGAGGTCGGTCCTTAGGGTGTACCAGTCTTTGTCTGAGGGTTGAGTGAGGTTTGAAGTTAGTGGCTATGTTGAAGTTTTGGAAGATCCGTCGGAGTTTCTCAGATACTCCTTGGACATACGGAATAGTGATGTTGGCCTTGTTTTTGTTGGTCAATGGTTTGCACTTCTGGGTTTTCTTAGACTGATCTGAAGGTTTGAGTGCTTTGTTGAAAGTCCAGTTTTGGTAGCCACATTTAGCCAGGGCACCTCGGAGGTGTCTTTGTTCGTCCGTTTTGGCTTGGTCTGAAGTGACAATGTTGTCTGCACGATGGAAGAGAGTTTTGATCACTGCTAGTTTGTGTTCCAAAGGGTGGTGGGAATGTCCAAGGAGTATCTGAGAAACTCCGACGGATCTTCCAAAACTTCAACATAGCCACTAACTTCAAACCTCACTCAACCCTCAGACAAAGACTGGTACACCCTAAGGACCGACCTCACAAGGGTACCAAGGCGAATGTTTTGGCACTCCCAGCCCCGAGGACAGACAACACTTAAGCTCCTGTCCTGTATAACAGGAGCTTTCAGACTAATTTGCATCATCTTGTCTTGACTTGTCTGACTTTTGTTCCTTTTTCGACTTCCAAAAATTTGTCTTCACTTTATAATTTGCATATCAATCAACAGGTTGTGTATATAAACCTGCTTTCCCCTCTGGTCTCTCAGTCACTGACGAAAGCTAGTGGATACTAGCTGAAACGTCTGACGTTTTCAAAATCATATCCAGTTGCTTGAGTAACTGTTTTTTGGCACATGTAACTGTTAGTTGTTTTTTGGGAACACAACTGGGATTGTAATTTCAAACATAGCTTCTGTTAAACAGGTAAGTACTATATCATAGTGATTCATTCCAAACAAATTGTTGAGATGCCATTGAACATTGAATTTATACCTTTTCAGATTGTGCTCTGTTTTCTTTAAATGTTAAGAGATGCATAATTGCTGTGATTGCATAACATTCCCATTGTTTTTTATGACACAAATTTTAACACAAATGCAATGTTGTGTAATATTTGTATCTTACTATAAATGAGGTCCACACAGTTCGATTACTTCTGCTGAGCCGTGTTTATTAATCCGTATGTTAACTCTACTGACAGATATGGTCTAAAGGTTTCCATGGAGTTTAGCACTTAGTTACACAGAGTTACCAATGGACTAGGATTACACAGATGTACTAAAAGTTATACAATACTAATCTACAGAGCTACAACTAGACATTGTACACGTACCTGAGTCACGAATCAGACTAATAGAGCAATTGTCACTCCCATGCTCAACTTAAGGT